GCTGGAAGCGGAGCCGCGCGTCCGGCCGCGGTCCTCGGCCGGCGCGGCATGGAGGCGGGAAGAGGAGCCGGGCGGCGGCCTCCAGCAGGCTACAGGCGCCGCGGTCTCGGGCTACCGCCTCCATGACGGGAAAACCGAGGCAATCCGCCCGCTGGTGGGCCGCGGTGCTCCTGTCTCCTTCCGGGAGTCTCGCATCCGGGTGCCTAAGTTGTGGTAGAAACTTAAACTCACGAGTCTCGGTAGTCGCCTTTTCTTTTTGAGACGGGATTTGTTCCGAAGACTTCTAGACGTGGTCGCCGTGCCCGGTTTATGGTAGCCTTTTTAGTTTAGCCTGAGACAGGGTCTACCAAACTGGCTTTAATCATATATATATGTATATACATACATATATATATGTGTATATATATATATATATATATATATGTCTTATGTTAGTTTTTTAGCGATGTATTTATTATTTATAGCTGGGTATGGTAGCACATGCCTTTAATCCCAGCTCTTCGGGAGGCAGAAGCAGGCCGATCTGTCTCTGAGATCTACAGAGCGAGTTCCAGGCCTGTCAGTCCCAACAGTGAGACCTCATTGTTTTTATTGACGTGTATGTGTATCTACCTAAGTTTATGTGCATCCGGTGCCTGCAGGTCTGCAGGTGCCTGAAGACGCCAGAGGGTGTCTGATCTTCCTGAACTGGAGTTAAGAGTTTGTTAGGAGTGGGAGGAACTGGCCCCATGTTCAATGAAAGAGCAGTAAGGGCTCCCAATCGCTGAGCCGTCTCTGCAGCCCAACCTTAGCTTTTGGGTTTTTGCTAGTTTTGAGAACGGTCTCACACTCCCTCATACTCGGTCTCACACTCCCTCATACTCGGTCTCACACTCCCTCATACTCGGTGTAGCTCAGTTTTGCCTAGAACTCCCAGCAGTCTTGCCGTCATAACGCTATGACGAGCTTTGGGCCACAAATCTTCAAGGGCCTCTTGAGGTCTGAGGCCTTTTCAGTATAGATGTGGGAAGGATCTTTGTAAAAGCCTCGCCTGGGATAAGAGTTTATATAGTATTGATGTTCACAAAATGCTTTTACTCTAAAAATTTTGTTGCCAATACATATTTTGTTTGAAATGCTAGTATTCCCCCCCCACCCCTTTATAACATGAAACGATTGCAATTTTATCTCCATTCAAATGTAGCTAAGCAGGAGATTGTTTGCCTAGCACACCTCACACTCAGCATTTGGAAACAAAACAGGAAAGTCTGGATGCCCTAAAGTTAAATGTGACAGCTTCTAAATAGTTTACTTCTCCCTGATTGTTTGCTCCAATAGGACTGCAGTGGTACTTACCACCAGTAGATGGATGGGAAAGTCAGAAAACTCAAATATTCTGGCAAGATATCGCTGAGTTTCAGTTGTCTATTGCTGTGAGTTGCCCTGTGCCTTCTTAGATGCCCTCCCCATGTCTACAGCTGGGGTGGAGAGTCTCTGAGGATATCTACTTAGCCGTTAACTCTTCAGTTTTAGTTAGATATAGCTAAGTAAGCACGTGGATTTGTTCACAGTGTTAAATGGGAAGGGATGTGCTGATTAGCCTCCAAGGGCTTACATTCTGGTGGAGAGACAGAAAACCAAGACATTACAGTAGGTGCTGTAGGAAGAGGGAAGATGTGCTAGGCTGCACAGTCAGCTTCTCACAGTAAGGGAGGCCTTCAGGAAGATTTGCCTGGAAGAGTAAATCATAGAAGTAAGCCTCACAAGGAGGAAGAGTAGCATGTGTGAGAGCTTCATGTGAGGAGAAGCCAGGCACATGTGAGGGTCTGAGACACATCGCCTTGTGACAGCTCGCTGTGGGAATGACAGGGCTGGGGGCCTGTCCCCTGGTTTACCATCACTCATATGAGTACACTGTCGCTGTCTTCAGACACACCAGAGAGTTGAACTCAGGACCTTTGTAGGAGCAGGCAGTGCTCTTAACCACTGAGCTATCTCTCCGGCCCCTCCTTTTTTTTTTTTTTTTTTTAACATCTTTTTCAAGGATGGAAACTAAGACCCCTTTTCCTCATTCCCCAGCTGAGGAGTCTGTGCTTTGTATTTACTGCCCTCTCATGGCAGTCTCTGCTGGCGCTAAGCACACGCTAGTCCAGACAGGCGCCTTTCTGCCCTTACAGAGCTTAAAGCTGGAACAGACCGGCAGGCTGGGGTAGTGAACACAGCCGCTGTGAAGTCATCTGGAGATAGTGTGTGTGGCAGGCAAGGTAAACGTAGGAAAATAGGACCTGGGCCAGGCACGTGCCTTTAATCCCAGCTCAGGCAGAGGCTCTGAAGATCAAACCAACCCCCTACCCCTCACCCAGAAGAAAGAGAGAGAAAGAAAACCACAGGACTTGGAGCAGTCAGGAATGGCAGTGAGAGGTGTTGCTGGGACAGGCGGTGTACAGTGAGAGAGCTAGAGTCTGCTGCACACAGCCTAGTTTCAGGGTTTTGCATCTTAACCGAAGTAAAGACAGTTTCTTTGGGTCTCCATTATCACCACCAAAACAAATCTCTTGGTATTTCACTTGGAAAGTTGCTTTCTTTGTGGGATTTATTAAAAAGCACCTTGCCTTGGGCTAGGGATATAGCTTAGATAGTTGCCTGCTCTGTAGACGACCTGGGTGTGATGGCAGGTTCTGCTTAATGAAGGCGGAGTGTGGTCGGGAAGTTCAAGAAAGGTCGTGTTCTGCTAGATAGCAAGTTTTGAGGCCAACCTGGGCTGTAGGAGACCCTGTCCTAGGAGGGAGGCCAACCTGGGCTCATTACAGATGGTTGTGAGCCACCAGGTGGTTGCTGGGATCTGAACTCATGACTTCCAGAAGAGCACTCAGTGCTCTTAACTGCTATGAAATAGCAACAAAAACAATTTGTGGTTGGGGGTCACTACAACATGAGGAATGTATTAAAGGGTTACAGCGTCAGGAAGGTTGAGAACCACACTGATCTGAGAGATACACCTTTGACACCATGCCTGGCAAAAGCAGGTCTTTAAGAGATAATTGTTATCCATGTTCATAGCTCAACTATTCAGAGCAGTCGGGAGACTGAAGCAACCCAAATATTTGTCAGTAGAAGGGGGTAAACAATGTGGAAGTACATTCCAGGGAGTGTTATTCAGACTTAAAACCGTGAAAATCCTGACAGGAGCTATGGTTGAATTGGCTCCTTGTGCCAGGTGAAGTTTGGTAGCCAGAGAAAGACTCACTCTGATTCACCTTGTGGGATGTCTCCAGAGTAGCCACTAGTAGAAGAAGTAGTTGCTGAGGCTCCTCGAGGGAAAGGACAGCTGCTGTTGGATGAAGAAAACTCCGGAGCTTGGTTGTTCAACTGTGAATGCAGTAAACACAACTGAACTATACTTTGAAAAATGGTAAGATAAGCCAGGCATGGTGACACATTCCTTTAATCCAGCACTGGGGAGGAAGTCGCTGGTGGATCTCTGCTCATGGACAGCCTGGTCTACAGAGTGAGTTCCAGACACCCAAGGATAGATAGATAGATCCTGACTCAAAAAATTCCAAAACATGGGGGGTTCTGAAGTAGCAGTCATGTCCTGTAGCAAGTGGCGTTTTTTATTTTACTTGTTGGTTGGTTTTTGTTTTCTTTAGTTTGGTTTTTGAGACAGGTTTCTCTGTGTAGCTCTGGCTGTCCTGGAATTCACTGTGTAGACCAGGCTGGCTTCAAACTCACCAAGATCTGAGTGCTGAGATTAAAGTCATGCTCCAACACTGCCTGGCTACACCTGGCTTTTTCTAACTGGCTTTTTTTCCTTTCAGTTGATTATGGAAGATTCCCACAAGAGTAACACTTCAGAGACTGCATCTCAGCCTGGTTCAACAGTTCCAGGAACTCACATTGCTCAGATAGTACATCAGGTAAAGCAAAAACTAGTGAGTACTGAGCTAGCCATTGGTGTTCACAAATTAATTTTTAATCTCATAGCACTAATGTTCAGAGAGCTAGCACAGAAGTCTTGAAATGATGCTGTCTAAGCAGGGGAGAGACCAAAGCGCCTTTCAAAGATATTTGTTTCCTTCTTTTTATATTAGGGGGATGGGAGGGGGGGGATGCAGGCTGACTTGAAGCTCACTATATAAACCAGGCTGCCCTTGAACTTCAAGAGATCTGCCTTCCTCTGTGTTAGAAGGATTACAAGGGTGTGTCACTGTGCCCGGCCTGGCCCCAAGTTCTTGATCATCCTCTTTTTGCCTAGCACCAGAGTGCTAACATTACAGTCCTGGAATAACAGGCAGATACCCAGCTTGAACCAGCCTCATTTCAACAAGGGAAATGGGAACATATTAAAATGTTCTTCCTGCCAAGTAGAGTCATTAGAGAATTCAGTCTAATTGACAGGTATGCATGTTCAGACTGAAAATGTCCAACTTTGGAGTTACAAATATAAATTTTAATATAAGCTAAAATTACGGGGCAACTTGTGGCTTCTACCTAGTGCATAGAAAGCTGAAAAGAGTCTTGCTACTACCTCAAACAAGAGCAAGCTCAAGACTACAGGTTCACTGACCTGAGACCCACAGAAACTCAATGTGGGTATGACTCACCTGTGGATGTCATACCAGGAAGAAAGAAGTCAGCTGCATTGAAGATGTAGCCCAGGCTAGCCTCAGACTCACTGTGTAATGCAGGGGGCCTTAGTTAAACTCCTGATCTTTGTATCTTCGAGGCATCTTCTGGGATTGCAGGCATATGCTACACTACATAGCTATCAAGTTTAAAGATACTTACTCATCCATCTTTTGGGGTGTGGGTATGCAGATGCCATGACACATACGACTTGGGATAGATAGCATGCATGAACAGTAGATGGTGTTAGGCCTTATCAGAGTTGATAGAGCTGAAGAAAGAATCAGTGAACGTGAAGGCTAGTGGAAAACGGAAAAGGGAGATGGGCAAGAGCAGAGCAGAACATCCGGGGACTTGGGGCAGTGTCTGTGTGAGCGGTCATGTGTAGACAAGTTTCCTGGGGTGGGGTTTTAGTCATGAAGAGATAACAGATCTAACTTTGTATGTATGTTAGACCATTCATATGTAAGTGTCCTTTCTGCTTTCTAGTCGGTGCATTTGGTGCTGCTGATAATGTTGGCTGACTTGTCTTCTGAGTCCAGGAAGCTGTGGTGTGCTGTGTGGAGAAAATGAATACACGTGTCAGATGACAGATGAACTATGATGCTCTTTACTGCCAGTCAGTGACAGTGGATTAACTGTGTATCAGATGAGGTATCTTGAATGTTAAAAGCAGGTAGTATACTGACCAATGGATATACTTGGAAGACAGTGTATTTCCCTAGGAGCAGTAGTTTATTTTATGTGGCAATATTATAACCACTGCAGATAAGAATAGTCTGTTATTTATACGTATGTGTGCATACCTTTGTGAATTCATGTACACTGTGTGTATGGAGGTGCCCGTGAGGTCCAGAGATGTTTGGTAGCTGGCATATAGGTGCTAGACACAGAACCTAAATCCCCTTCAAGAACAGTGAGCACTTTTAATTTCTGGCCCATCTATTTAGCTTTGAGACATTTGCTTTTTGATATTTAAGTTATTTTGTGGTGGGGCAGGGCCCCAGCACAGTTATGGAGATCAGAGGACAGCTTCTGGGAGTTTATTCTCTTTTTTTGTCATGTGGGTCCTAAGGAATGAACTTGGGTCATCAGGCTTGGTGGCTTGTGCTTTTACCTGGGGGCCACCTCACTGCCTTTCCTCAAGGTGTTCTGTTCACAAAAGGAGGTAAGAATGACTTGTTTGAGGTGGTTTTAGCTTATAGAGTTCCTCGTTCACCCCTCATCTCTTCCTTTTTTGCTTGATCCTGGGGCCCAGGTTTAGGCAGGCACGGGACCACTGAGCTGCATCTTTAGCCCTGGAAGGTTTTGTTTTCACTGTTGCTTGTTTTTATTTTGACATGAAAGCATTGCACAGAGGGTCCTCAAACTGGTGACCCTCCTGTTTCAGCCTTCAAATCTGAGATAAGATTTTATTTGTATGCACGTGTGTGTCTATGTGTGTTTATTTACATGTATGTTTGTGTGTCTATGTTTGTGGGTGTATGTACAGTGCCCATGGAGACCAGAGGTGGGCATTGTATCCCAAGATCTAGAGTTAGAGGTTGTAAGCCCAACCTGCTCTTGCCCGAGGCAGTGTGTCCCTTAGAAACTTTCTGTTTGCCCATGATTGTGTTTTGTTGAGCATTGTGTCACAACAACAAGAAAGTAACTGAGGACCATTTGTGCTTCCTTTAGAATTTAGAATTGTTGGGAGGCAGAGGCAGAGGCAGAGGCAGGTGGATTTCTGAGTTTGAGGCCAGCCTGGTCTACAGAGTTAGTTCCAGGACAGCCAGGGCTACACAGAGAAACCCTGTCTCGAAAAACCAAAAAAAAAGGGGGGGGGAATACAACAAATATGTATAGAGAAACATTCTATAAGTTCTGTGAGTCTAAAGAACCCTGACTAACACGTTTTGTTTTGTTTTGTGGGGCTTTGTGGTGTGTTTGTGAGTGTACATATATGTATGTCTGGGGTTTTGTGGTGTGTTTGTGAGTGTACATATATGTATGTCTGTGGGCCAGAGGTAAACAGTAGTAGCTGTTGCTACTCAGTTGCCCTCCACCTTGATATTTGAGACAGGATTTCTGATTAAGTCTGAAATTCACTTACTAGTGTATACTGGCTGGCCTGTAATCCCCAGGGATCCTACAGGCTCTTCTGCATCAGTGGGATTTCAGGCACATGCCAGTACTCCTACCTTTTTATGTGGGTGCTAGGGTCAAACTCAGAATGCCCCAGAAGGAGCAGTGACCCCCTTTAATGCTGAACCAGTTTAGACTCTCAAGTGTTTTTGTTGGATTTCTCATTTGTGTTGCTGGCTTGTCAGTTCCTGAGTCTGTTTCTTTTCTTTTTTTTTTTTTTTTTTTTTTTAGGTTTTCCGAGACAGGGATTCTCTGTGTAGCCCTGGCTGTCCTGGAACTCACTCTGTAGACCAGGCTGGCCTCGAACTCAGAAATTCGCCTGCCTCTGCCTCCCAAGTGCTGGGATTAAAGGCGTGCGCCACCACCGCCCGGGCATGAGTCTGTTTCTTTACTCCATTTGTCTGCTTTTTTTATATCATCTTTGAAGCAGTCATTTTAGGGATTTAGTATTAAGTTTGGTAATTGAGATAAGTCTTGTAGAAGTTACATTTCTTTGTTTTTGTGGTTTTCTCAGTGGTTGTGATCACTCATCTATCTGGCTATTGATAGGCTCTTCCGCTTTTATTTGGATTTTTTAAAAAATTGTTTAGTTTTAGTTTTTGGAGACAGGGTTTCTCTTGGCTGTCCTGGAACTCATTCTGTAGATTAGGCTAGCCTTGGAACTCGAGATCTGCCTTTCAAGTGCAAGGATCAAAGGCATGCACCACCAGTTCCCAGTTGGATCTTTTAAAGTATTTAAGCACACACTTATGAATGCACACTGGTCCTGGAATCTTTTTAAAGATTTTTATGAAAAAAAAAAAGATTTTTATATACATAGGCATATATATGTCTGTGTATGTATGTTAGTACAGGTGCCCTCAGAGGTTAGGGGAGGGTGTCACATCTGGATGTGCAGTGTAGGTGGCTAGGTGATGCCTGAAATGGGCGCTGGCAACCTATGTTGGGTTATCTGCAATAACGGGTAGTATTTTAACCTTTGAGCCATCTGTCTAGCTGCTCCTCAACCCCCCACCGCAACCTCATTATTTTTAATAAACATCCTTAGGAGAGCTCCACAGACTCAGGAAACAAATCACAGTAGTGCTACACTCAACCACTCTTTAAAGATAAAGAAAAATGTCGCCGGGCGGTGGTGGCCCATGTGTTTAATCCCAGCACTTGGGAGGCAGAGGCAGGCAGATTTCTGAGTTCGAGGCTAGCCTGGTCTACAGAGTGAGTTCCAGGACAGCCAGGGGTACACAGAGAAACCCTGTCTTGAAAAACCAGAGGGGGGGAGGGAAGAGAGGGAGAGGGAGAAGGAGAGAGAGAGAGAGAGAGAGAGAGAGAGAGAGAGAGAGAGAATGAGAATGAATGAATGAATGAATGAATGTCTTTAAAATCAGTTGACGCCATCTATAACACTAAACACCATAGGGAGAAAGTGCTAAGGAATAACAAATAGCTGGTGTACAATGAACTTTCAGGTTAAAGTTGTTAGAGAAAAAGTGAATGTAGTGAAGGAGACAGGGTCACGCAGAGGAGTGGAGAGAAAGCCAGGTTCTATAGAGAAAGTAAGAAGCTGACAGCACAGTAAGGAAGCATGTGAGAACTGGAGGCCAGCTTAGTCCAGCTGCTCTTTCAGAGGGCCCAGTTCAATTCCACCAATTGCAGTACTGGTTGAGAATTGTTTATATTTCTAGAGGATCTGATTCTAGCCTCTCTGGGCACAGACTTGCATGCAGGCAAAAGACTTATACGTTTGAAATAAAATAAAAATAATTTTAAAAAAGTTTTTGAAATGAAAAATGTTATATAAATAGATAAACATAAAAATGTTAAAACACTTAAAAATAAAAATATTACTTTAGCTGGAGAGATGACTCAGTGGTTAAGAGCACATGTTGCTCTTGCAGGGGATCCAGACTTGGTTCCCAGCACCACCTATACAGTGGTTCACAACCATCTGTAACTTCAGTCCCAGGGACTCTGATACCCTCTTCTGACTCTGAGGGTAACAAGTATGTACAAAGTGCACATATATCAGGCAGACATCATACATATAAACAAAATAATTGGAATTGAAAGTTTTTTTAAAAGCAGGGCATAGTTGTACACCTTTAATCCCAGAGCCAGAGGAAGGTGGATCTCTGTAAATTCAAGGCCATCCTGTACTACAAAGCAGGTTCCTGACCAGCCAAGC